CACACACACACACACACACACACACACACACACACACACACACACACACACACACACACACACACACACACACACACACACTGAATGGCAGTCTCGCCACAATCAATTGTGAGCTTTAGAAGTTTGGTGCAGCTGTAGATTTTCCAGGTATCAGTGTCGTCGTTAAGGGACATGATATTTAAAAGGCTTCTTGTTCTGGCAAACTTGGCATCCTTATGCTGCTCTCTTTTTTTCTTTTGTTGGTCCTCTTATGGGACTTGTTATGAAACTTGTGCAGCAATGTCATACTATGGGAGTATGTCCATGGCAGCTTATGGGACTTGAGTGTGAATGACAGATTGATGGACATATTATGGATGGGACAGATAATTGCACTTCTGTGTCAATTAACAGATTATGGGACTGGTGTGTCAATGACAGATTATGGGATATTATGGGACTGTTGTGTCAGTGACAGGTTAAGGTACTTGGTTTGTCAATGACAGATTATGGGATGCTTTGTCAATGACACATCAATGGTCGTGTTTGTATTATGTTGCTTCGCTTTGCCTTCTTAAACCACCAGTACTTCCTAAAGTCGCGTAGCGTTAACGCTACGCAATTTTAGTCGCGTAGCTTTAACGCTACGCAATTTTAGGAAACGTACGGGCCACTACAGGAGCGCCCAAATTCATCAACTAGAAACGTTTCTACTCTGTTTTTTTCCGTGGCCGATAGCTGGGCCAAGTACTGGTGGTTTAAACCACCAGTACCTCCGCCAGTGTTGGGAAATTACGATGTCTTGGCCAGTACCCGAACTTGTCGGCGGTGGGACACATGGTCGGCAATGTCCCATAAATCTGAATTTTATAGCACCGGGAGTGAACGGAAAAAGGAAAAAAAAACAAAATGCTTTCTCTACTGCAATGATGTCGGGCTGGGTAGTCCAGGAGGCCGTGCTCACAATCTTCCTCCACAGAATGCACCTTACAGGTAAAAGGCGGTCACATCCGGAATGTTACTGTTTTTTTTTTTTTGTTGGTCGTGTGTTTCTTATGAGTCCGCTGGCCGTGAATTGCTCAAGCTGTCCGTGATCTGCTCAAGCTGTGTTTTGTCAGGGAGGATTGTAAGGCTAATCACACTGGCACTTAGGGGAATGTATCCAGCCATTTTCATGGCTGAATCCATGTGCCTGATTTTTTCCCTCTTTGTTCTCTTTTTGGAATCTGACAACCTGGCCATGGGGCTGAGATGAGCTCATTGAGGGCACACTCACACTACCACTGCCAAGAATGTGTACATCTGCAATCACGGCCAAAGCTTGGTTTCCTTTTTTTTTTTCCTTCTTTTCTGAGGTTCACGGCCGCAAATTTTCTTCTTTTTTGTTTTTTTTTGTTTTTCTCCGTGAGAGTACCAGAAAGAAAACGGAGTGGTACCCAGGCTCGGCAAAACTCGGAGCGCAGTGAAATTCAGGGTCGGCAAAAACAGGCTCGGAGGTACTGGTGGTTTAAACCACTGGTAACTCCGGTGGTGTTGGGCCGGACGACGGCTGCCATTGATAAATCTGAAATCTCATCGGCGGTCGGCGTTTCGTTTCGGCCTCCTAGAAAGTTGGAGGCAAACCCGAGGCCCCGCTATTTCCCCACTAGGCAAAGGTACTAGAGGTTGTAAAATATGTCTTGGATTGTTTATCTTTGGCAACCTTTTCATGTCCTTTCTACTGCCAGCTCGATTTTATCCCCGAGCTTGATTCTCTTGAGCTCGCTGACTTTTCCCAAGCATGCCTAGGAAAAGAAAGAGAGCTAAACTTGAAAACCTCAGTTATCTGCATGAAGTTTTATGCTGTCGTGTCTGGATTTTGTTTAGGTATAGACGTGCAGAGAGGTGATGCTCTATTACTGTTTGGAGAAACCTGCGCGAGGAGAGGGATTATCGTATCATTATATTATTATGATTATAGTATCATTATACTATTGTAGTCAATACCGCCTTCTCTCCACCTTCCCTTCCTGTGCTCCTTCATAATCATTGCCATGATCCGTCCTCTCGTCACATCACCCTCTTCTTGTCCTTTCAAGGCATCCTGGGGAGAATTGGATGACGAGAAGACTCAGCAATCAGGCCCCCAAATATGCGGTGGTGTGGGGGTGTTGGGACGCACAGAGTTAGGGGGTTTCCAGGGCCCAGTCAAATAAAATTTACGGCCCTTTTTTCTCTCTCAGATTCCTCTGCTCATAAGCTGAAATCCTGCAAATTTTCATGCTTTCAGGCTTGTCTACTGAAAAAAAAAAAAAAACTAAGAGTCATGAAGAAATGGTGGTCAGATAATAGGGGAACCCTCCCATTTTCTTATTTCTTTAAATTCTTTTGCTTTTGTTTATTTCCCTCTCTTTGTTTTGTCTTCAGTCAGTAAATCAATGGGACACTTCTTTAACGCAGACACACATCCGTCGTTAGATCGACCGTTGCAGGTGCCGCCTCTTCGGCGGGGATGTTCGCTGTCTCCACCGCCGCCTCCAAGACAGCCGGCCGATCTTTGAACAGCATGATCACCGCACCTCCCGCATTGATTAGAGATCTGCTACGCCGGCATGCTCAGAACCGTTCGGAACGACATCGTCGCCTTCAATACACGCTAGCCAGGAATAGTACATGAGAAGTCCGATGGCCGCAATGTGGCGATGATTTCTTCAGTGCTGCAGGCCTTTGTGTGCACCAGGCATGAGGTGCAGCTGCTTGGCAAATGTTTGCATGACTAGCAGCCGCTCCGAGCACAAGCGCGGCTGATCAGTTTCCACTTCCTGCATATGGTCCACCCATTTCTCACCTGCCTGACCCACCCCTCTCCCATCCACCTAGGCCCGCTTGCTCCCCTGCCCCAAATGACAATGACCCGCCTTCTGATTACCTGGCGGAGCCCCCAACTAAAGATGACTTCTCTCCAGAGCGCATACTAGAGCCAATGGAGGCACCTGACAGATGGTTAAGTCCGCAATACTGGATGACCCGCATTCTAAAGTCGATACAGCTGGAGGCACCTGGATACTGAAGTGGAGCCACTGGATGACCCGCATACTACAGTCGATACAGCTGGAGGCACCTGACAGAGCCACTGGATGTTTTGCATACTAAAGTCGATACAGCTGGAGGCACCTGACAGATGGTCAAGACCGCAATGCGTCTCCGCCACCCGTGCAAGCTGCAGAATTGAACGAATCTCCCCCAGCTGCTAAACTGCAGAATCGGATGATGTCATAGCGCTACAGTGAGGCCATCGTGCGTTCCATGCCATTAATGTATATCTCCTTTCTTACAAAAGTAACCCATGTATGGTTTCTGATTCCGCAGACCTTGTCTGCGGGATAGAAGAAGAGCCTGTGTGCCGTCTGCCCGGAGGATGTCAGTACCGCACCTGGTGCGAACATAGCAGTCCCGTCTACGGCATCGATGGGTAAGCGACTACAATTCCAGCCTGCTCCACAGAACTACATGCATGGCATGGATCCGAATATTTGCCCATGCAACACCACTACTTTTATTGTGTATCATCGACGACATCCACGGCATCGTCACTTGTTCGGGGATCAGCAGCCTGTTTCTTTGTCTGGCCCAATTCTCTCTGTGCCAACTCAAAAATTGAGTAGTGATTTAGCTAAATACGATGCGGACCTTGCTCCACAGGTTGTTGGGGTTCCTCTGTCCCAAACGGCAATATCCACTCCTATGCTCCGGCAGACAGTCCAGTTGCCTTCAGGCAGCCACGCCACCATGTCTTATGCCCTTCAGCGTTAGATGTTCCACCTGTACAACAGGACGTGGTCCCTGCCCAGAGTACACTCCTGATTCCTGGGACAGTCCCTCCTCAGAATGGGGCCCCAAACGTTGCGGGATTGGAACATGATCTTCCCGGATTGCAGTTAACCCCACAAGGCGTAAACCACAAATCTGTGCCCCTCCATGCGCAGACCACATGGGTGATCTGCAAATGACTGACCCAGCAAACAACCAAAGACATTTTGGGCTTGCAACACCAGCTGGGTGATCTGCAAGGGTCTTCTTATACGACCTGCAAAGTATCTGCCAAACGACTTAATTCAATATTGACATAAAAGAAGTGAGCATGTTTGACTTGAGAATAGCTTCTTACCACGGCGTTAACTTGACCTTGTAATTTATGCCTTCACCTTTTTGAGCTCGTTTATTACCTCTTAAGTTTCCATAGAGGAGAGAAGGTTACATTTCTCCAGCTCCAGGATGTTGATGAGTCGACATCGCAATTATGTTAATTGAAACCACAATAAATAATAGTAAATAACTCTTTACTCGAATGAAATGAATACAATCGATTGAGGCGAAGTGGCGCAGTCTGCGACATATAAATGCATCACCAGTGTCTCAAAATCAATCAAGCAAGCTCACAGTTCGCCTTGGTCG